CCCCGCCCGCCACAGCGGCCCCGCGGGGCGGCCCTTGGGGGCTCTCACCGTCAGCATCTCACTGGTCTGCCGCGCGGCCTGGTCGTTCTCGGCCCGGGCCTGCAGGTCGTCCTGGTACTCCTTGCAGTTCATGTTCTCGTGGATGGCCTGCGGGACAGGCCCGGAGGCACACCCGGGGGGGGTGCTCCTGCCTGCCACCCCCTGCACCCAGTGTTGGGGCCTCCCCTCGGCTCCATGAAGCCCTCCGCGCCCCTCCGCCAGCTGCCTAGTGCCTCCCACCCCAACACGGGGGTCTATCCAGCCCGTGGCTCCGGGGAGAGCAGGCAGGGACCGTCCCCCCGCAACACCGAGGCAGCATCTCGGGGGCTTCTGCGCATCCTGGAGGAAGGCGGGCTCCCCAGACCGGGCACCCCTCGCGCACCTGGCACAGCAGGCAGTTGACCTTCAGGCACACGGGGCAGGAGAACTCATTGACATCGTCCTCGAAGAAGCACCAGCCGCGGCAGTCGGCCGTCTTGCAGTGGTAGCTGCAGGGGCTGCGGGTCTCGGCGATGGAGACGCCCAGGTCCAGGAAGCGCTCGTACTCCTCTGGGCTCAGGAGCTGGGGGGGCGTCCATCAGCACCCAGGCGCCTGGCCGTGCCCCCTGCTGCCAGCCCCCACCCAGCCTCTGCAGCTGCCGGCCCCCCCCAGGTCCCTCCTGCTCCTGCCCCGGGCACCCACCGCCTTGATCTCCCGCTCCAGCAGCTGCCCCATGCAGGAGTAGTTCTTGTCGATGTAGGGGCAGGGCACCTCGGGCTCCGGGCTGTTCAGGATCGTGCCCTTCAGGCAGTCCCTGTGGGGTCAGAGACAGACCCGCAGAGTCAGGGCCACGATCCTGGGTGCTCCCAGCCAGGAAGGAGCTGGAGCTGGGCTCTGGGGGTCGTCCAGGCTGGGGGAGGGGGGGGTCATGGCTGCAGCCTGGAGGTGATGCTCCTGCAGGTGGGTATGGGGCCAGGGGCAAGTGGATGTGGGGAGCGGAGCAGGGTGATGCCCCTCATTGCCTATAGCACTGCTGCACGCCCCCATCCCTCCAGCCCCGGCGGGGGTTGACCCCCATGATGTTGGCCACAGCTGCCAGGGGCTAGGGTGGGCCCGTGGGCAGAGCCGGCCCTACCTGCAGAAGGCGTGCAGGCACTCGCGCAGGGTCACGCCCTCGCCGGGCGGCACGATGCCCAAGCAGATGGGGCACTCGATGGCGGCGTCGGCCGGCACCAGGCTCTGCCTGTCCAGCTGCAGCAGCTGCTCGTAGTTCTCCTGCTGCTGCTGCTCCTTCACCTGGGCACCCGGCCCGGCCGCGTCAGCCAGACCACGCAGCTCTGCCCCCAACCCAGGCTCCTGCCTGCAGCCCCCTGCCCCATTCCCCATACGTAGCTGGGCAAGGGGAGGGAGTGACCCTGCTGCCCCCAGCATGCCCATTCTAGGCTCCCAGGGCAGCTCAGGGGGACAGGTGAGCAACTGAAGCATGGGGCTAAGGGATGGGCCCGGGGCTCCTCAGGGTGAACAGTGGCAGAGCAGGGAACGTCCTCCCCTTGAGCGCTGCCTGCTAGGCCCCAATCCTGCCTGGCTCCCAGGACTGGCTAGAGTATTGGGGGGGGAACAGAGCACATCCCAACCCCACCCCCCCCCCCCCCCCCCCCCCAGCAGTCTCCCAGCATGCTCTGCCACGAGCTGCCCCTTTAAAGCTGGGAGTTGCAAGCAGCTGCAGCCCTAAGGGCTCTGCATGCGCCCGACTGCCCCTGCCTCCTGCGTGGGTGAGTGCTCCCCCGGGTGAGGGGGGGTCCCAAGCTGGGCAGCCCCCCCCCCCCCCGGGGGGAACG